GACCTGCCCATTTCATGGCGGGAAATTCAATTATTAGTCCTTAACTCATCTCAAACTACCTGGGACGACTCATATTAGAAATTGTTTACTCTTCTGACTCTATCGTTGAAGGGCCTATTTTTAGAATTAAAAGGCCTTCGTCTCGAGCCCAGAATTCGTATGAATTCTTATCTTTGAGTAGTCATCTTAGCAGCATTCATAGTCACCAGGCAATCTTCTTTGGTAGACTAGGAGCAGTCTGTACTCAAATTTGTCATAGAATTATCTTATCTTTCGATCTGCGTCCCATTTACAGGCATAATCTTTCTCCTGTAATCTATACTTTATTATTCTAGTGCTGCACGTAATTATTTTAATTGTGCTTGGACACGTGTCATACTTACGATGGGACCCTACAATATCTGTTATGACTGCTTTGTGATTCATAACTGTGGCTCTTTAAAATCTCCCATAAGTGATCTTTTGAGAGGTTTCAATTTTGATGTCCTACAATTGTGTGCCAACTTGGATTGAGTACCTGGGCGGAACGGCCCCCTCCGGACCTCTTTAGGTAGTCGTGCTCTGGGTGCTTGTGGTGTCCGAATGCTTGAGGCATATTCCAAAATTTCGACTTATTGCTACTGTCGAAATCGACAATTGGATATAAAGTTCTGTGCCCAGTTAACATCCGACAGACCTGACTAATGATAGCAAACGGATTTTGCCTTTTCCTAGATGGGCTCATCTGCAAGTAACGAAAGAAGGAGTGAAAATACCTCATGGAAATGTGTGTGCTTGTGTGCCATCTTGTTATTGCTATTGCGTTCATATTCTTTACCAGGCACTAGGATCAGTGTCAGGCGATCCTGAGCCGGTTGGGTTGAGTCTGTTTGAGGAAGAAGAACAAATCTGTATCAAAATATCTTCATCTAGCCCAATTTGGGTTTTTTACCTAAAGCTTGGCTAAAGTTGTGCTCGGAAAATGCTATTCTGTCATGTGGCTTCATTGAAGGCAACCATCAGTTTTCGATATCACTCACTTTTCCTTTGAGCCCTTGTCAGATCACAAGGTCACACTGAACGCCAATTTCAGCTTCCAGAACTGCTGTTTTTCCCATCGTTTTGTGGTATTTAACCTTTCTAAACTTGAACTCGGAGGAGCATGAAGCATTCCCAACCAGTCTAGACTTTGGTTTCCTGACACAAACGGCTTCCTCGTCAATCTTGCAACCGGCATCTTTGACGAGTATGCGCTGAGGCTACTCTTCGCCGATATCGCCTGTGGGTGCTGCAGCCTTTTGAAGAGACTGGCCAACCTGCGAGTGGTCGCAGCCTCTTCATTTCGAAGCAGCATGTAGACAGAGTAGCAGGGATTGCAGGGAGCCGGTCTGGTCGTCAACAGTCCAGCTGGCAGGTGACAAGCGTCGCTGAAAGCCGGTCTGTGAGGCCAGTTCTGTAAGGGATTGAAAGGTGCCGAGAGGTGGGAGGGATGTAGGCCTCTGGTTGCCAAAGGCGACTGAGCCGTCGGTGGACATGTGCCGGGTTGCCAGGCCGGCCGGATGACCCAGCCCATCATCATGACGCTCTGCTGGGGCTGGGCTTGAGTCCCGGTTGCCTGGTTCGACCCGAGGGCTGGATGATACGGATGGGTTGGATGGGTTGGATAGTTTAGATGGGTTGGATAGTTTAGATGGGTTAGATGCGTTGGATAGTTCAGATGGGTTGGATGGTTCAGATGGGTTGGATGGGTTGGATAGTTCAGATGGGTTGGATAGGTCGAATCGGTGGGATGAGTCGACGGCTCTCCGACGATCGGCAGCCCCGGACAGGGAATATCGCGATTGGGGCGAACTCTGTCGGTCGAGAAAAGGAGGCCATCGCTTTGTCTGTCTGGTCGTCCAACCAGGCCGGTAGCAGATCCACCGGCCGGGCCGTAGAAGGCTTCACGGGCGGGATAGTGACTTATACGAACCGGCCTCCACGGACTGCGAGGAGTGTCCGACTGGCGGTCGCAGACACACGATCCGACCAGGCCCATACCGCCAGCTGGGCCCATGTATCGGATCGGGTTGCCTCCGGGACAGACGCAGCCGTGGCCTGTGGCCTCGAGGGGCCGGAGGAGGCTGGCAATGTTGTGCTGATCGAGTAGGCTCATCACGTCTGCGTCTTCTTGGTCCACATTTCCGCTATCCAGACTCCCAAAGTCCACCTCGTCTCGTTTTTGCGTGGTCTCTTTCGTCTGGCCGCTAGACCCGGTTGTCCTCTGAGATCGAGACATGTCTTCCATGCTGCAGCTTCTTCTTGCCTGCTGCTGCTGCTGCTCCTGCCTGCCGCTTGGCGACAGGATTTGTTGGCTCTTGGCCCGTGTCGGTCGGACTGACTGGTTGCCTTGGACACACGAGCATCTCGGGCAGGGGTTGTGGGCACAGATCACTTCCGCCTCTACAAACGGCAACAGATTGCTGGTGGCGCCTGGCCACAGCTCCTCTTGCGTGGCTTGGACCTGGTTGAGGAGGATGTCTTCGTAGACCAATGCCAGCTCCTTGATGCCTTCACGGACCTCACGACGACGGGCCTTACGCTCATCTGAGTACCGGTCTGTGGCAACCTTTGGTGGCCTCCGCTGCCGGCAGGCGGCTACCAGACGACCTGAGACGGTACCTTCCACGGGGCCTCGAAGCAGTTGCAGAGGCGGGTCGGGAAATAGACAGACGCAGACAACAGCCAACAGCAGAGCCGACCTTGTCAGTCGAGCCAGTTTGTGGCTGCAGTTGCTCTTTTGCGTCCAGTCAAGGCCTGGAGTGGAGAACCACTTCAACAATGAAGTAGCCATGCTCGGATGGGGTCCGTCTGCAAGTCTGCTTGTAGCCTTGTCCGATGCGACTCTGAGGAGTCTGTCTGCTTTAGCGTCATCTAAAGTCGTCAGAGTTGCGCCCATTGGCAGGCGTCCATTTCACCTCACATTTCTCTCACTCTCTGTCCTTTTTTCCAATTCGTCCTCTCTCCAAGTATCCTAAAGCAACTGTTATCCAGCCTCGTTATGACATGACACATTTGAAAGCATGAATCTACGCAAAACGTCTTCTTCTCGTGCTCACCTCTGACGGAATTTGCTATTTGCCTTTCTCTGACGGCTACTTGTCTGTCATTACTGTTTGCCTGTTCATATTCGCTTGCCATCATATGGGCGTTTCCTAGCCCCGTCCGATTGGGTTCCTCCCAGAGTTGAGGCACTCTCCTCAAACAGCAGCCCCGCCCAGCCGTTCTGTACACCTTTTTATTGCCGATCCCCTGCAACCCTATGGTTCGGCTCCACTCTTTGGCTGAACCAATTCTATAAATTGCGTTGCTCACCGAGCCAATTGTGCAGATGCATATACCTACATTCCTGCCATGCATGTTAGGCCTACCAGCTAGTCGGTGTTCACAGCTCGTCATCGACCAATCCTCACAAATGGCAAATGTGAGGTTGGAATTAGTTGGATAAAGAGTGAAACTTGGAGTGCGCAGTTACAATAATAACTTTATCTAATTATGTTTAAGCTTATGAAGACTTTCGATAGCCTCATGATATAACAGTAGTATGATTTTTAATTCGATAAATTTTAAACAAATTTTTTCATTTCATTTATTAACTTTCAATTTGAATGAAGAATTGTTGATCTTGCATCTCCTTCTTGTGGCATTAAGGCTGGTACTCTTCTCAAGGCATTCTTCGATGGAAGGGTGCTGGGCTTTCATCTCACCGATGAATGGTAATAGTCTGAAATTGTTGAGATGCTTCATTGTTCTAGAGGTAAGTTTCAACAGTTTCGACGGAATTCTTATTGAATGGATAACGAGTCAGTCTATGATTAATTGATA